ACCTAAGGAATTAGAAAAGGTATTGTTTTTATAATGCTTATAAACCTTCAAATATTTAAGCATAACCTTAGATTTATGAATCAATTTCTTTACTTTTTATTTATTTAGCCTGAGTGTGCATGCACGTGGTGTGTGTGTGTGTATGTATGTGTGTACACGCACAGTTGTGTAAACATACCACCATATATAACATGGAGTCAGAGGATAACTTGGGGGATTTGATGCTCTCATTCTGCTATGTGGAGTCCAGAATTGAACCCAGGTTGTCACGCTTGGCTACCAGTACCTTTACCCACTGATCCATCACTCTGGCCCCAAATTTATGAATTAGCTTAACAATTGATGGTAATGATATATGATCCTTTGTTACATACTTAAGAATACATTTATAGAAACTCTACAGACTTTTCTGTAAGGTGTTAGGACTCTATTTTCATAAACTATCACTATGGTAATAAAATAGTTTTATAATCATTCTTGGATGCTAACAAATCATAAAATATAATCACAATTTCAATGATAAACTTTGAGATTTATCTCAACCAAGGAAGAATAATTGTGGTGCCTAATAACTTAACTTCTTACAGTTTCAATTTTTTTCTTCTTAGCAACAAAGGCTAATCAAAAATTCTAACCTAAGTTCCTTATATTATCTTATGTGGTCCACATACTTACACATACCTTGTCCACAACCTAATTTAATGACAGCTTGTATTTCTTAAGATACATTCACTTACTGAGCAGTGGTAGTGGACGCCAAGATACATTCACTTACTGAGCAGTGGTAGTGGACGCCTTTAATTCCAGCACTCGGGAGGCAGAGGCATGCGCATCTCTGAGAGTTCGAGACCAGCCTGGTTTATAAGAGCTAGTTCCAGGACAGTCTCCAAAGTGACACAGAGAAACCCTGTTTCCAAAAACAAAAAACAAACAAATAAGAAAAAGATACATTTACTCTAAAAAAGGTGAACATCTTATAACTTTAAGCAAAAGTAAACCATTCAAATAGTAGAGAGGAGAACTTTCATTTACTGTGACTAGACATTTTAAGTGAATTTGGGATAGATTTGTCAGTGAAAATTTTAATCAGCATTGACATACATGATGAGACTATGAAGAATTAACATCTGGATGCTTGAATATGAGTTTGAATTGGGATCTTACTTGAATTCTCTCATCTTCCTCGTTACATCTTGGGATCCTTATCTCAGCTATCTTCCCCAGAGGTGACCTCTCTGCTTTCCTCATGTGTGGTCTTAGTCTCCTCCCAGCCAGCCTCCTCTGAAACCTTCATCCACCATTGATCCTTTGCCCGCGTGCCTTCAACTCATTCCTCCCTAGCATCCTGGCCTCTTATTTTTAACCCCACCCTAGTCCAGAAACATTTTCCTTAACAGCCCCACTCAGTCACAAACCTTTCAGTGTTACTGATGCATTTTCTTATTCATCCCTTAACCCATTCACATCTGACAAAGATTTCTTCAGCCCTATAAAAATTTCTTTCTCTGAGATACTAACAATTACTCTTCTATTTCCAGTGCCAATAGTATCAGTATTACAATGTCTCTCTCACACCCACGTTTATCTTTCCTGCCAGCTGGACTGCTATGTAGCCTAGAAATCTGAGTGCATGCCCGATTTTCAGCATTCAATCCTAGTTGATGTCCTCAGTCAAATTTGCTTCAATTTTTGCTCCAATACACCTCATTTTTGGTGGAATTTTGTACACAATTCTGATCTCATTGTGACTTGAGTCATATAAGTGGTCCCCAAAGACTCAATCATTTTGTGGGTCCAAATGATGTTATGAGTACATGAAAGCTTCTGCCACTGTGATACCTACTCCTTACATGATTACCTAGGGATCCTCAATCCCCCCCACAAAGGCTATTTGAGTTCATTTTTCAGGAAGCACAGGAGTGTTCATCATATGTTCATGTTTAAAATAGAAGGTGTGATTGAAGTGGTGGATGTAACCCGGGGGTTCCAGCACTCACCACTATCGTAGCATAGGCAATGCCCTCAGGTGTCGGTTTAATTCTAGCTCTACAAAGAAAATATAAATCAAAGCAAGAACAAAAAATCAACTAAGTCCACTTCCATCATTGTTTTCTAAATTGCTTGCCATAAATACTGTCTTTGATGGAAACCCTGTCCATGAAAATGTTCCTTCCCAAGAGTCAGTCAAATTCTGCCTAGACCATCTTCAGTCTTCATGTACCAGAGTTGCCTTGTAGTTTATGACTGAGTCCTGGGTAGCATGTGCACGCATGCGCATGCACGCACACACACACACACACACACACACACACACACACACACACACACACACACTTTGGAGAGGTGTGGTAAGGATCCAGTGCCTCTGACTCTGGTGCACTAAGGCAACAATGCGTATCCACAAAGCCTCACAGAGTTCTCAGTAAATATAGTTCTACTGACTCCTGGTTCTCCTTCCATGGGTCTCCAAAGTTAAAGAGATGAATATGAATGATTCTTTCAGTTTCCTCATGTTGCCTTTCTCTTTTTGACACATATACAATACGCATATGAAATGATCTGTGCTTAGGAGGGCTATAGAGAAAGGCGCTTTATGGTATTATGTCACTTCACTAAAGTTCAGCTTTTGATGTCAGTGAAGAAACAGAAATTCTGCAAAGTATTTCACTCAATTCCTAAATGACTGAAAGATGAATAAAGGCATAGTCCATGCTTTCAAGTTATTTCTGTCTCAAAAGAGGCCAATAATTAGCTATTATGGAATGTAATGTCATATATATACGACACGCACTCTGGGAGACCAGATGAGGAACAGTTTTACAGAGGATTTGAAAGGTCCTGGTTTAAAGTACTGATATGCTAGGTTAGCTGGGGGACAGCATGTGCTACGGCTATTAAAGGGAGCAGCACAGTGGTTTTAAAGGTCAAGGTAGTTGGAGGGATCCTGAGAGAACCCAGAACAGTTAGTGAACATGGGCGTGAGAGTGTCTAGATAGGCAAGGATATTCTAAAAGGCCGTGTGTGATGGTTTGAAGAGTGTGAACCTCATTCATCTAAAAAGCCAAGGTTTAGGAGAACACCGTATACCCTAGGAAAAGGAAAACAGGAACTGTGTGAATGCCATTGAGAAATCACAGACTTCCTAAGTGGACCCCAGAGCAGGAGCTGAGCACCCACATCCCAGAAGGACATTTCTGATTTCTAGGGACTCCTGTGGGAAACTGGGTTTTCCTCAGGATGTTTTGATCTTCTGTGGGTGAGAAATGCCAGACAGGACTCACTTGCAATGGGTCCTCTCTTTCTGAAGAGCAACTCGCTTAATTACCCTCACGTTTTTGGTTTTTTGTTTGTTTGTTTTTTTGCTTGGTGGCTGGATGGCATCTGTGGAATGACTTGTGTTCAACAGGAAGTCATTTACAATGCCACAATTGAACAAGTGCCTACCAGAAAAGGCGAGAAATTACTAGAGCATCACCCAAGCTTTGTTTTCCCATTAACAACCTATCTGTCTGAATCCTCTTAGCAAACACAAAAAGGCTAAGATGTCAGACTCTCTGTGGCTCTGAAATCAAACATTACCCCCAAGCCCGACGGAAGGCATTTCGACAGACTCTCCAGCCCTGCTAGCCAAATTGCCTGTAAGTGGACAGGTGATGTGGATGTCAGCTGGGGAAGAAATGACTTACTATAAACTCCAGGCATCTCTCACTTCACTCTCAGGAAATGTAACTTGTATCAGATTTCTCTTCCTGGAAGATGTTCAGCAAGGCAGAGGCCTCGGTGATACTGGTAAATACGGAAGTTCTTTATAAACCCTGCCTCACACTTATTCAGAATGGAAGAATTAATTTGGAAGCTTATTCTTAATGTTTAAAAATAGATTTTTTCCATGGGGCCATTCATTTTAAAAGGAAAAATAAATAAACAAATGCCGCTCTTGTTAACTATGATCTAGAAAACTCGCTTTAGCTCTGCTGGGATAGCACTTTGTAAAAGACTGTTTTACTTAAGGCCCTGGGCTATGGACTGACTGCTTGAAGAGTTAGGACTGGGACCCCTGTAATCAACAATTAAGCCTTTTGAACAAGTCGTTGTTTGGAAACAAATTACACTTGGACTTGGGGAACATAATTTACAAAGTGAAGCTTTTCTAGAATGATTACAGCCTCCTTCTTGTAGCTTAGGAGCACTGAAACTTAGAAAATGTGCAAATCTCTGTTCTTTTTCATAGGTTGCCCCTGGCCTCACATTCTTTATTCCATAGCAGGGAAGTAGGGAGAAGGGAAATAGGAATTCAGAGGCAGTTTTCCTCTCGACCTCTTACTCTGTAATTTGGTTTTTTCTTTTACATTGCGTGTGAGACAGAGGTGCTGTTTGCTGCCTTGCAGACTGTGATTCCTTTAGGAATATAGAAAACTCCACCCGATTGACCTTTCTATACAAGGAAATGACTTAATACACCAAGAAACATAAATTGATGACTTTTCACCATGCTCTTTATTTCTCTCATCAGAGAAACATCTAAGCTTGTGATGGAGAATAAATCAATCTCTCTTACACTTCCTTCTCTCCATAAAACACCTATGCCAATACATATTTGTCCATATTTTAGAAATTACTTATTTTCAGTGCCATTCTTCCTGAATTTGCCAAACTTCCAGTGTTTACCACCTGGAAAGGAGGTGAAAAGTGGTGCTTTGTCCCCTTGAGACAGTCCCTACTGGTTTCTCATTAGTTGGTCAATCAAGGATGCCTTCCAATTTGCTCAGCTGAAACCTTCCATTCTTGCGTGATGAGGCTCTTTGCCTTCAATGAGTTAACTCTGTGGGCAGGAAGCAATGTCAGACCCTGGTTTGGGAACTCAGTGGATGAATGAGGTAGAATAGACATGAGTCTATGTATAGGACAATGACCCAGGATCTGTGCAAAGGGTCTCCGTTGGATCCTTGCCGAAAACAGTCAGATTATGACTGTTACGTTACATACTGAAGATCTCATCATCTCCCTCAGCTCTGGCAATCACACAGGTTCAGTGTGTGCTTGGTGGATTTTCAAGCAAGACAGGAGAGAGTGTGGCACTCCTAATGCATAGCTGACCTGCCCCAAAGCGGTGCTCTGTTCCTAAGGAGTGCATGCATCAGCTCCTGGGTGGGAAGAACTTCTGTCTTTAAAAAGTTAAGCCACCAATCCCTTTTGATTGCTATCCAGTCACGGCTACCTGGGATGCCATCTTTAAGACTGGTAGCTATTGACCCCTGACCTTTGATTTGTGTTCACCAAGTCCACTTAAGAGAAATTCACTATCTTTTAGAAATTCACTCTCATTCAGATGACCCAGGCTCCAGTCATTGCTAACACACAAGGAAGGGTTTTTATACAAGAAAAATAAAATGACTTAAGTCTGGGTTTTTTCCTAAGAAAAGGGGTATTCACCTTTTTAATTAGGTTACCATTCTATTAGTTTTCTTCCCAGACTGTTACAATCACAATCCAGTATCTTTCTTTTACAGGACGCATAGACACTTTTCATCAAAATTCTTCAATACTTTTTGTTTCATTATGTAACTTGAGATTTTCACTCCTTCCTGAAAGTTGAGTTAAAGAAGTACTTGTCTAAAATAAATAAATAATCTCTAGGGTTTATAAGGGAAAATAGTTCTGATTTTTACCTTCTTTAGCATGTACTTTCCTAAAATTCAACAGACTGTAATTAACCCATTTTGAAGATATTACTGAGTGTTTTATGATACTTCCTGATGTTCTCAAACAACGGGAGGGGAAGGAACTGTAATTATCAACCTCAGGGATACCCGGCACCTAGGAAGTACAAATGTCAGAGTGAATATTTTCCTTAGAGACCAAATATGATTTGTGGTTGTTGCTAATATCATTGTGTGATTGTAAACATTGATGATTTCCTGTTCTTAAATTTTGCAAAATTAATATTGCATGTTAATTTACTCACTCCCCCCTGCCCAGGAAAAGAAATAGAGACTTCTCTTCTTCATCTGAGTTTGAAAAGTTTGCTTTTAAGTCAGGTCAGTAATGATGGGGCGGATCTTACTTGTAACCAAGGAGGATGCAAACAACTCAATATCCTGGAAAAAACTGACCTTGAAATAAAAAGGGATGAGTTCAAGTCTCATTGTGATCTATCCATGGCAGAGGGTTGGAAGGGTAGACATTTAAGTTCTGCGGCTTTGATTTCTCACGTAGGAACTAAGGTGGTTGATAAGAATTACAATTGGGATTTATTTAAAAGAGTACAATATATGGTTTGTCATGACTGAAACAATTGCAAGAATACGACTGAATAACATTTTTGTTAAAATATTTGTTAATATTTTCCCTACAGTGGTCTTAAGTCACCATGTGGATCAAAGATTAGGCAAGTGAACACAGGTTTTTGTGCTCATTCAGTGATTTCTGCAAATGTTATAGGTCACAGTCCTGGTGGTTGTTTAACAGAAACAAGTTGGTCATAGCCCTGTTTCCATGGAAATAATTTTTCGATGTTGGGAAACAGGTAATACATGTGTAAGATGGTAAATTATGCGTGACTCAGAAGACTGAAGAAAGGGGAGCAAGAGGATGTGTCAGGTGGTAACTGAAGCCAGGACAAATTTAAGCTTCTTAGAGAAAATGACATTTGAGCTGGGACAAGAATGACCAGGAGCACCCGTGTAAATGAAAACTCTAGAAAGACTGTCCCATGAGAGGGCCTAGAATACACAAAGGACTAAGGCTTCAATGACCACAGTGTATCCAAAGTATCAAAATCCAGGTCACTGTGGCAAGCCGTAGCTGCCTCACAGAATCTGGGGTAAGAGGCAATGTGTCAAGTGGTGGGTCCTCATAGGCTTCGGAACTAGCATCGGGGATGTGCTTTTACTCTGCAAACTGGAAGACATATTCTAAAAGAAAGCTTAAGTAATTTTCGAATTTAAAAGTTTATTCTATCCACCATGCACAGGCCAGACTGAGAACAAGATGAAAAACAATGTGTCTCATCATGATAGTGTGACAGGAGTTCAATGGATACATGCTGATTCTTAGACAATGACAGTGTAGACAGAGAAGAGTACACAGCACTGGGGTCTGTTTTGGTGGTGGAAGGAGGAAGATTTGCCAATGGATTAGGTTGATAATGGAGGGAAGGCAAGAATTAAACTGACTTCAAGGGATTTGACTGGGACACCCAGGAGAATGGCTGTGAACCTCTTGAACTGAGGAATGTTGATAGAGAGATGTCTTTGGGTAGAAAAGGAAGAAGCTGAACAAAAGGATGATTTTGTCCTCCAAGTAGAGATGTCCAGGAGGAACACAGACCTGTGAGTCCAGGAAATGTGAGAGGGAAGTTGACAAAGTTGACCAAGGTTTATCTCCCTTCTAGCATATCTCTTCCCTTTCCCCTCCATCTTCCTACTCCTCTTCTTCTCCTTTCCAAGCCCCTGTTTCCCCCTCCCCTCCATACCTGAAGATTACATTTTGAGTTCTCATAACAGCTGTGTGTCATTTTGGTCTGGTTAACTTAGGGGTGTTTTTGAACTCCAAACTTGGTCTTCCTTCTGTGTTCTCTACTGAAATGTCCTTCCTTAATAATAATCTCTGCAGACCTCGGCTGTGCTTTCCAAAGTGAGAACTGATTACTAGATAACCTGGTAGCAACACGTAACTGTTTTTCAAGGATTAATGTTGACTAAAGTCTGAGGTTAACAGAGCTTGTGTTTTATAAACAGAAGCTCTATCCAGTGAGGAAGAGCAGCCTACCAGTGGACATCAAGTGTCTGGGCTTTCAGTGAAAGCACTGTATAACCAGAGAGAATACTAGCACTGCCCAACACTTTTTGATCCAGTACCATACATTTAAATGACTTTGGAAGTACAATTCCACTTCATAATAATTAAACATACACAGGGAGGTCAACGCCATTCTCTGTCTCTTTCTGAGAGCTTTCTTACAATACACAAACTATCTAAACTTTATTATCTTATTTGTTCTTCCTAATGATATTAAATAAATTTTGCCTAGCAGGAAATCGCATTAATCAGCGAGGAAAAAAATTCACTAGAGAATATAGTTAATGTACAATTTGGATAAATATAGCCCTATCTGAAGTTCTGAACAATGAATTCTTTCATGGATACTTTAAATTCTATTTTTAAAAATGCAGTTTCATATGTCTTAGTGTTTTTTATTAATTGTTGAATTTTAAGTATGTGGAGAAAATAATCACTCAGGCACATTTTCATTTGAAGGATTTTTTTGTGTGTGTTTTTGTTTTTTGGGTTTTTTTTTCTGCAACCTTTTCTGATGCTTCAGGGTTTTCCTCTGTGTAAAGTGGTAATTACAGACTTTATTGACTTGGCTTTGCCTATTATAACAGAAAAATGTAATTAGTAGTCTACTTATCATCATCAAAATAACTTGCCTCACTACTTTCATATCAATACATTTGGAGGATTAGGAAGAGGTGGCAATTAGTCTATACTACTCTATTATTAGGCCTCTGAAGAAAACAAGTCATTTTAAGGGTTAGTATTTTTTTTCCAAATGGAAGCAGTTGTGGGGTTTTGTTTTTTGTTTTTTGCTGGTGTTGTTAGGTTTTTTTGTTTTGTTTTTTGTTTTGGTGTTTTGAAATAAGGTTTTTCCTGTGTAACCTTGATTGTCCTGGAACTTGCACTGTAGACCAGGCCGTCCTGAAACTCACAAATCTGCCTGCCTCTATCTCTGCTTCTGGAGGGCTGGGTTTAAAGGCATAAGCCACCATACCTAGCTCAGTAGGGTTTTTTAAATGATCATTAACAGGATTCATGCCTTTGGAAAAAATTGAGTAAATATAGAAAATACAAAGAAAAAAATGGAATCTTCCTCAATTTTGACACCCAAAGGGAAACACTGTAATATTCAGATTTTTAAAAAATATCTATCTGTTGTTGCCATCAAAACCCCACTGACAGAAGTTCTCAGATTTGACACCATTTCTGCCCTCTCTGGTCACTTCCAGGAGGCTGGTACTTGATGCTCGCTAGCTCCTCCCCTTCAGCCTCACACGATTGGCTTTCTCTGTGGGATTGAATCGGGGCCTGCTGTACAGAGTATGCCAGAGAACAGATGAAAGCTAAGAGATTTTTGCAACACTGAAATAAATGGCAAGTTCAAAGTCTTTTACGACATGTGACTCATGAAACCTCAGCGATACCTCATGCTCAGCACTTGACACAAATGGGGACACCTTGGAAGCAGTTTTCCCTGGCACCTCTGGATAATTCAGCATAACTTTAAGTTTACTCTCTATGATAATTAGTGATTTAAAAGACTGATTTTATATTGATCCATCTCGACTTGGAATGTTTGTAACACAATAATGTGTAGAAAATAGACATAGGAAACACATGGTGGAGTAAATTCAAAATTCCACTGAGCCCTCACGAGTAGGTTAATATTAATGAATGTGGGTAAAATTTAAATGGACGATACTGGACTAGAAGAGCAATGAATATAAATTAGGGCAAAGGCAAAAATATTCCATTGATAATTTATAGCATAGCTATATATATTTATTTGAGTAAAGCTTAACAATATTTTCCTTAATGGCAATCTCACTGAATAAGCAACAGATAAGGTTTCTTATAGGAAATTACACTCCATACAAAAACATTCAGGCTGGATATCTTGGACAGAACAAGCTGTCATTATATCTCTCTGGTAGCACACAAGTAATCCAATATGGCCTCTTTTATAATAGAAACTTTGGCAAGGCACAGAGAAACTATTCTGTGTCACACTGAGTGTTTGTGTGTGTGTCCTGTAAACACGAAACCAAGCTGGTAAGAGCAGATATCGTTTTTAACATCTTATTTTTAAAACACAGAAATTTCTCTTTAAAAGTTACATTTTGGGGGCTGGAGAGAAGGCTCAGCCGTTAAAGGCTAGGCTCATAACCAAAAATAAAAGTTACATTTTGGCAAGCAAATTAAAATCAGTGTTTTATTCTCAAAGACTGACTATAAATTTCTGAAAGAGAAATATGATAATTATAAAGATCTTTATCCACTGTGAATGCATACCAGAGACATTATTTCCCTGCATGTTTTGAAAGAATAATTGTTACATGTCAATTATACTGTGTAGTCAT